ACCTGACCAGCAGTGGCTGAATCAGGATGCCTGGGGCAGAGCAGCTGGGGTGCTGCCGGGTTGGTCCATTAGCGCCCAGAGCGGCACTACGGGACCAACCAGCAGCGCCCCAGCTGCTGTACCACAGGCGTCCGGAGCAAAGCCGCGGAGCACGGGGGCAGCAGGGCAGCCCAGACGCGTCTGGGCTGTCAGCTGCCCGTGTGCTCCGCGGCTTTGCTCTGCTTTGCTTCCTCTCCCTGGTCTGCTGGAGACCAGGGAGAGGGAGGGCCCCGTTCGTAACTGCGGATCCGACATAAGTCGGATCCGCGTAACTCGGGGACTGCCTGTACTCACTGTGGTTCCATCCCAACATATAAATAAAGCACTGAATGACCAAGAGCTTATCTTGCCCGTTTTGTAGCTAATGGAAGCAGAATCTTCTGAAGTTGAGAAGGGAGGGGTCATTTACCTTATCTATGCTGTCTACCACACATGCATGAACATATTGAACTTCATATTGTGCATATACTTTATTTGCTTGTGTTGCCTGTGCTTGTGAGAGAGTGACAAGCTGTTTTAGCTGTTCAAAATGAATCTCTATTCTTTACATTAGGTCATTTCTAAAGAAACTCAGCAGCTGGTTTTCACAATCCCTATTTTTGAACCTTTGCCTTCCCAATATTACATTCGAGCTGTATCTGATAGATGGTTAGGAGCAGAGGCTGTTTGTATCATCAATTTTCAGCATCTGATTCTTCCAGAAAGACATCCACCTCACACAGGTAAAGTTATAAGAAACCTTATTGTTTTGGTTCCTTAAAGATTTGTTTCAGCTAGCCTTGATAATACATATTTAAATTATTTTAATACAATAATAGAGATCCAACTCTTTTGGTTTTACTGACAAAAGTGTGTGTAGAAGGGCACTTAAAAAGCCTATCACTAAAATTAAATATGTTTGTCTTTAATAGCATGATGTTTAATTCTTCTTAAAATAGTCCTGCTTGTTAGTGATTCTAGGATCAACATCTAGAGCTGGAGAAGTATCATTGTATTATATAAAATAAGTTAGATTGTGCATTCTCATTTTTCTTAAATTGAGATTATATTTTCCATATGTATATATGTATTTTCCATATGCCAAATTATAATGTGATGTTTTTAAAATTTCTCTAAAGTGAAGTATCCTTTCTGAATCCTCATTTCTCTAACATTTGGCAGAGGAGAGCTGTTTATGCTAAACTACTTTATAAACTAATTTCATTTCACATACTATGCATTTCTCCAGGATTATTTATAGAGCCACCTGCTCACTCAGCCAACAGTTCCGTTTCTCCTTGACTATGAAGCTGAACTGCTGCTCCTTTAAATACTAGCTTGTCAGTTCTTCTGTTTTATTACTCACCATTTAAAACCATTATCTATATCTCAAACTTTCTTACCATGCTTAACAAACATTCTGTAGTACTTTCGTGTAGTATTGGGTATTTTTCAATTTTTCTTGTGCTCATTTTGCACAGTAGATCTTTGAAATATTTCATCATTATCAGAAGATTATCATTATTCTGTTGATGTATATTTCCATACAGGTTTGTCTACATGTCCAAGCAGTAATTATCACATCTACAGTACTACATCTACAGTGTAGTGGCCTTCCTATAGCCAGACTCCAGCTCTGGAAGGTCCTCAGTACCACAGCCTTTCGCTAGTGCAGGGAGTTGCCACAGCCTGTCTCCACTGTCATATAGTTACACACAACACTGTGGGCACCAGCCTGCTTTTTGATGCTTTGTGCAGCTCCACATCTCCTACATGCTGTCACAAGCATAGACAAAGTATATAGCCAGATATCAGGAAGAGGACCACACGGTGCTTTAGTGAATGTGTCATACTAAAGTGGATGTAATTGCAAACCCAGAAAGGACAGGGACTTGATTATAAGCATAAGTGATTTATTTTGTAAAAATGGAAGATTAATATTGCCAAGGAAGATTAATTTAAAACGGTGGGAAAGAAAAGGTTGAAAAGAAGTATTACTAAAAGGAATTTAGAGTATGTCTACATAGCACTGTAAGTCTCAAGTTAGCTGGGCTCAAGTCAGCTGACCCATGTCAGGGAGCTCTGGATATGAGTATCTACATTGCATTTTAATAGTAGACTGAGGATTTTTTTTACTTCTTAAACCTAGTGCTGTGGCATCCATGATGCACAGATTTTCAAATCAAAATAACCCTCTTCCAGACCGCCCAGCATCCTGCTCCCGTGTTGACACTACAAATGTAGTTGCACTGTGGGAAAACTCTAGTGCCCATCCTATTTCCTGACTGTGACAGTGTGATTGATGGGATTTGAGTGCCCAAGAGTGAGTGAGTACCTAAAATAGCACCTTTGGTGGCTGATTCAATAGAATGACTGCAAGTTGAAAAGGCTGTATAGTTGGATAGTGACCTATCATCTAATCTGAGGATCTGACTCTCCACTGCTAGTCTGTTTCATACTGGAAGGAAAATGGCCCCATGCACCTGTTCAGAAGATAACAGGACATCAGTCTCCAGGGTTGTCAAACTATGAAAATGAAATTTTGCAATTTCTTAATTTTTGAAACTGGCTGTTGAATGAAGGTTTTTTTTATTTTTTGTTTGTTTTTTTCACTTTGTCCCTGCTCCCCTCTTCGGCTCTTGTTCCTGGCCTCCTTCTCTTTGGCTCTTGCTCCTGGCCCACCCTCTCTGGGCTGCATGTGCTACCCCAGTCAACAAACCCTCTTTGCAAAAAATGTATTCTGTTTGGTCTCTATCAGAGAGCCTGCAGGGTTTTCAATAATGTGCTTGCAGAGCAGTGTTCAGCAGAAAATGGATTAACGCTGCTCACAGCTGCTGCTGTTAGCAATGGGAGATGTGACTTCTATTTGGAATAGACTGCAATAGACTGTACCGGCATATAGTCAGTATAGAAAGGTCTAAGGAAGTTGTCCCAAGGAACTCTGAAATACATCCAGAAGACTTTTGCGACCTGAGTCAAGCTGAGGTCATGTGCACACTTAGCAAGGAAGGGCGGGGAGGGACTAGCAGGGCAACAGAGCTGGCAGTGGGGAGATGTGGGGGAAGCTGGCCAGGAGACTGGCGGCTGGTCCAGATCTGGGAGGAGCCAGTAGCAGGGGGCCAGATATAACCTCCCATGGTCCTGTAAAATCCCTCATCCAGGACCATTCAGGCCCTGAGAGTGCCGGATCAGGGAGGTCCAACCTGTAATTGTTTCATACTCCTGAATCGGAAGTAAGAGACTCCTATTGTTTTAGCTACAAGTGGGTTTTTTGTACACTTTGGGTGACTCCATGATTGACGTAAAACTCACTCACAATTATTAACTATGGCTATTTAATAGCCAGGAAGGAAAGGTAAACAGTAACACAATACATATGTGAGAACACAAAGCTATTTGCTATCTTTTTTATTGACATGCTGTTGAAGATTGGCTTAGATGACACCTTCAGCTTATGAACATGCAAATATACAGCATTTCTGATTGCCTTTGTATTACTAGTGGGAAAATCCCCAGATAGCCTCTTAAAGTTCTTTTCTTTTTATTCAATACCTTTTCTGTAATACAGGCAGTCCCCGGGTTACATGGATCCGACTTACATCGGATCCCTACTTACAAACGGGGTGAGGCAACCCCGCACTAGCTGCTTCCCCCCAGCAGACCAGGGAGACGCGAAGCTAGCGCCCCCCCACAGCAGACCAGGAAGACGCAGAGCGGCTTTTCTCAGCAGACACCTCAGCTTGAGAATAAAGGACTGAGGGAAGTGAGGTGTGGGAGAATAAAACTGAGCTCTGGAGAAATGTTTGGCTAGAGTTTCCCCTACAATATGTACCAGTTCCGACTTAGATACAAATTCAACTTAAGAACAAACCTACAGTCCCTATCTTGTACGTAACCCGGGGACTGCCTGTATTCCTTCAATTTTACTAGCATTCTGCAGGAAATGAAGTTCTGTTTTGAAAAAGTCTAAATACCTATATTTTTACATACACATTTTCACTTTTTAAAAAGTCTTTTAAAACTAAATCATTCTTAAAGACCGTCTTTAGAAGTTATTGATTCTACATAATAGTTTTAAGAAAGATTAATCTTGTCTACTTTAGTTGGGTTGTGTGAATTTCTTGATCACTGACAGTACTTAATTAGTTTCCCACAAATATAAATATACTTAAATAACATATCATTTTAGTAATTAGTTTATCAAGGGCACTAGATTTACATAGCAATGATATTAGGAGCTTTGTATTAGCTAACGTATTTGGAAGAATGCACTTCACAAAGATGTTTGCCATTTCAACACTTAATAAACAAACAAAAGAATTAAAATATTTCCAGCTGCACATGCTTTTCTCATAGGCTTTTCTTGAATGAAGTTTTAGAGTACTTATAGAATTAATTTCAGCAACAATATTTCTAGACTTCTTTGTGTGTGTTTACTTAGACATTTTCTTGGAATGATGAAAAATCCCACCCTTTAGATTTATTGCTCTGATAACACAATTCTACATTCCTTTTTCACAACTGGGTCTAATCCTAAAACATGAATGTTTTACATGGTTTTTTTTCTTTAGATAAAGATTACATTTTTACCTAACTGGTACTGTATACCAAAAGAGAAATCCTAGTTTAGATATGACTCATTGAGGGGGTTTGTCCTTGGCCCAGAGCTGCTTAGAATTACAATCTATTTGTTACAATGGTTTTATTAACTTTTTTGGCTATTGAAATTTGTGCTTTTGGACAATGCATCTTTTAAATATGTCAAAAATAAAATAGTATAAATTTAAAGCGAAGTAAAGCTTAAAATAAATCTTTTAAAAAACTCTTTGGAGTAATAAGCATGGTTTTATGTCTAAGGAGGGATAATCTTCCTTACATTGGCTTATCCCTGGGACACAAAAGCTTCCTAGGATTTCTTTGATTAGCTTGAACATTTGTCACATAATCAGCTAAAGATTATGTGTATTGTTATGTTTTCAGGCATCTTCGCTAGAACATACTTCTCATTATTTCTTAATATTCAGTAACGACATAGAGAACATCAAAAGAAATTAATAGTTTTTAACCCTTTTTTGCATCAATATTGAGGTCTTTTACTTACATCAGTAATAACTTTTCTGGAAAAGATGGGAATGCTTATCAAATAAGGTACTACTTGATAAAACTGAGAATCTGTCTCTTAGTCTTGCCCCATAAATTCCAAAACTGGAAAGGCATATTGAATAGCACCTGTGTGAGTCATCCAATTGAAAAAATATAGAAGTATTCACAAAGTAAAGTGTTACTGTTGTGAGTCAGGGTGTCAGATTTTCTCTGTAAATAAATTAAATGTGGCAAGGAAGTGATTACAGGGGAACAAGATAATATTTTACTTACCGACAAATTTAGAAACCAAAGAAATAAAGAATTATATACAGAGATGCTATACAAAGGGATTTAGCTATTAATATTGAAATTAAATTAAAAAGCAGGAAAAATTTACTGACAAGAGTTGTCAGGCGGTGGAGTAATAACCCAGAGAAAGCAATGGAACTCCCATTGCTTGAGATCTGAAAACTAGACTTGACAGAATATTGGTAAATGTGCAACAATCCTGTTTTGTCATGAAAAGGACAACTTTAAGTCTCTTCTGACTCTTAAGAGATTCTTTATTTCTGAGGAGATCTTCAGGGGAGGAGGGCAATATTTGCAAATGAATGAAATGATTCATCATCTTGTTACCTTGAGCAAAGAACTTCAGTTATTTACAACAGAAGTCCAGCCAGTTTCCAGGCATTTATTCTTGAGCATAGAAAGCATATGAATATGCCTTGGAAAGTAGGTTTTCTGTTCTCAGCCTCATCAAAACCTAGTTCCCATAAGCAAAGCATAGGTGCAAACAAATTGAGCGTACGTAGACTTGATCATGTTTTTTCAGAGAATGCCTTTGGGACTTAAAATATTTTTAGCACTAGTCTTTGCAGCTGGAAATTTAACCTGGTTGTAAAATTATGCATGTTTTTTACCAAAAAGGAACTCTAAAAACCAAATAAATACATAAAATAGGTGGATTTTTAAGAAAAAAAATCTATCTAATTGAAAATTGGAAATATTTTGACCAGCTCCACTAAAATTATATATTATAGCAGAGTGTAGCATGCATCCAATTTGAATCTCAGCATTAGTGACTGAGTCAAGTTTTTTGGTACAGAAACATACCTTTTTTTTTTAATCTGGATACTTAGAATGCCTCATATAGTCAATGTGTTTGACATCACTGTAAAACACTTTCTCTACAATCACATTTGGCTCATTTAAATGTCTGTGAATTGGGAGCATTCAGAAGTATTCACTTCACTTCCCGTGCAGTGTTTTTCTTTGGCATACACAAAATCACATGTGTTTTGTGAATTTTTCAGCTATTGTTCTACTGTACTGTCTGGACAGGCATGTGTAACCTTTTTACCTAATTGACCATTGACTACTATTTAGAAAAAATAGTAAGATATTTACACATCACCGGTTATGGAGCCCTTAGGATTTATGGTAATTGATTTCAATTCCCATCTGGTTCCCACTCAGCAGTGAAGTACGTAGAGGCCCTGTTAGGCAGAAAACCTTCTCTTCTCTCAACAGACCCCAAGAAATCACAGATTTAGTGGGAATGATAAAACAGACATAAGGTATCAGTGAAAAGCATGTTAAGAATATTAGGCATCACAGCCTACGCAGATTTTATGACTCTCTTAGCATACCTTAATGTGGGGCACCTGAAAAGACAGATTTCCAACCACAAAAAAAACTTCAAAGAAAGCATCTGCATAACAGAATCATTACAAGTCTCATTAATTTGTAGGAATTTAAATCCAATCTGTCTAGATGTATTAGCTTCCATATTCCACAATCTCTAATTGTTTGGATAGCAGATGTCTCCCAGGATATTCCAAGAGTTATGTATTGAAGGGATATTTTCTTTGATTCTGTGTATTTATATCTTATCTATCTCTGTGACATTTTAAATAACTATATGTAAAACATGTATATATCCCTCATTCATATTATTTTATATGTTATCCTTGTCCCTAAAGGATCCTTACTATGCGTCTTAAAAGCAGAGAATTGTTTTCCGTATAACTGGAATTTAGGGACTGTGATGTCTTCTATAAATCATTTTCACTTACTTTTGTCTTCATAAGAATTGTCATATATTTTCATTGGTATAGTAGCTTTAGATCTACTCAAGTATTAAAAAAAAGAAAAGCTTTTGATGTACAGATGAATCTATGTAAATTGCACACTTCAAAGCTCACAATGTTTAACAGTTGTACCTTGAGGAAACATGTCAAACTGCAAAACAGTTTTCATTGTTGCTTTCTGGGATCCATATGATCCTAAATTAGAGCCCTTTATAGTATAAGAAATTACCAAAAAAAGACTTCAAATTTGAGTTGTTTCCCTTCAATACATAAGTTTATACCTAATCAACATCTTGTTAGTTTTGTCCTATAATAAAGTATTTTACAAGGCTGCATATTTTGACATGTACTAAATGATTACTCCATTATTTTAGAACTACTGGATCTTCAGCCTTTGCCTATCACAGCTCTGGGATATCGAGAGTATGAAACCCTCTACAAATTCACCCATTTCAACCCTATCCAGACGCAGATATTTCATACGCTGTATCATACAGACTGTAATGTTCTTCTTGGAGCCCCCACAGGCTCTGGAAAAACTGTTGCTGCTGAGTTAGCCATCTTCAGAATTTTCAACAAGTATCCCACATCAAAGGTTTGTAAAATGTTTATTAAAAATCTGCAGTGTCTGTACACTTCTTTCAGCGATCCAAAACTTTATAAAAATTAGTAGTGCCAGCAAAATACCTTTCCTAGCTAAAGTTCAAAAGTACATGTAAACTGAATGGTACTAATTCATGTACTTTATCCTTTTAGTTTCAACTGTTACATATTTAACCAAAGTAAAAACCACAGCTATATAAACAAGCATATTTTCCATGCTTAAGTTTAAATGCATATTGAGATCTTTTTTCTGGGGACTTCTCTGCATCCGTGATGAATTTCTTGGTAATTCCTCCCATCAGCAAGGTCTTGCTTCCAAACTACCTTGTCCTTCCAAGTCAGGATATCTGGCCAGATCTCCTCCTTATATCAACAAATTAGTTTGAAAGCCAGTAATTCAAGCTGATTCTCTGTCTTTTCAACCTGAATTTCAGTTCTTATTTCTTAGATTATGAGAGCCTAAATCAGGGCTGGGCAAAATATGGCTCGAGGGCAGGATCGGACCCACAAAGCCACTGGATCTGGCCCATAGATCACTCTGCCGGGACCCTCAGGCACACAGCTGCCACGGGTTTAAACTCCCTCCCAAACCTTGTACCCCCCCTCCTCCATGCCTCCCCAGTCCAGAATCCTCTCCTGCACCCAAACACCCTTTCAGACCCTGCATTCCATTTCCCTGACCGAGATCATAACCCCCTCCTTCACTCAAACTCCTTCTCAGACCTCACACCTTCTCCTGTACACCAGTTCCTTATCCCTGCACCATTCTGTACCCATCCTCCATCGTAGACCCTATACCCCCTCCACAGAAAAGTGTGGCCCTTGACCACTTTCCAAAATCTTGGAGTGGCCCCCCCACCAAAAATTATTGCCCACCCTGGCCTAAATGCTCAACAATCAGATGTGCTTGGCTTTATATGTGAAATTCATTGTTCATGAATAAACTAGGGTGGAGGTCCCAAATTGTTCAGCCAGATGTGCACTTGACCATCAAAAGCATCAAAATTGAAAAGTTGGGTTCTCTGATTGAGATTAAAGCTGGAGCTAATATAAGGGGTGCATAGCTGATTAGAAAAGTATTCCCAGACAAAGTTATCAGTGATTCAGAAACAAGGTAGAAGGGTGTATCAAGTGGGATCCTGCAGGGATCAGTATTTTATTCAATTATTTTCAGTATTTTCATCAATGATTTAGATAATTGCATAGAGTACACTCTTGCAAAAAAACAAAAAACAAAACAAAAAAAAGCAAAAAAAACCCACACCACCACACACCACCACCCACACC